TCCAATCTCCACAGAGTACTTCCTATCCTCCAGGTAAGACCTAAACCAGTCTAGGGCTGTGCCAGTGACACCAGCCCAGTCCTCCAGTCTCTGCATGAGGATCTCATGGTCGACAGTGTCGAACGCGGCACTAAGATCTAACATGACCAAAACTGTGACTTTACCTGCATCAGTGTGAAGTCGAATGTCGTTTGTTACCTTCACTAGAGCGGTCTCAGTGCTGTGGTGGGGTCTAAACCCAGACTGGAACATATCAAAAGAATTATTCATTGTTAAAAATTCAGTAAGTTGTTGGGAGGCCACTTTTTCAAGAAAAAGTGGCCTAATCATCCGCATCTGTCTGTTATATATAATCATCCGCATCTGTCTGTTACTTCGCACAAATACTAATTTTTTTTAATCTTACTGTTTTTTTTGTTTTTTTTTTACTTTTTTGGAAATCTCAAAATTTTATCTAGGTGTTGGTGATTAAATTTTGGAGATGTTCCAGATCACCAACTGAATGCTGGATTTTATAGAAATATCTTATTCCCTGTGCTTTGCTGTCTAATGTCTAAAGATTCTGAGATCAAAGTCAGACATAATAAAGTGTAAAATGTAATCATAAATGGCAGCTGGTTAAAGTGCTTTCCTGTCCAGAATGCAGGGAACCTCTTCTTTGGATTTACACTTTTATAAACTAATTTTAATATGCCGTCTTAAAGAAGCTATACCCGATTTTTTTTCTAAGTAGTTCATAAAAATGCTTTTTACTCCATACAAGTTATATCACTTGTAAAACTTGAGGTAATTGATTCAGCTGTGTAATAATTACAAGCAGTGAAAAGTGCTGAGTAGAGTCTTAGCGGGCCGCTCTTTCTCCTCCACTCACAGAACGAGCAGCGAACAGTCTGCGTCCTCTAGCCTCTACAGCGCTGCTTAACACCAGGGCTTCGACTTCAAAATTCGAATATAATTCTAAAATAAAAAATATATACATATTTATAGACAACCCTTATAGACAATTATAGACAACCCTTATAATTCGAAATGTATTTGATGACTGCAAATAAAATAGTTAGCTCCCAAAGGTTTCACCGGGACGTGCTAGGCAGGTAACAGCTAAGCTAGCTAGTTGTTTCATGGTAACTTCCGGGTTTTTCGCAATCGCTTTTTGTCACATTAAAACAGTATTTTTGTCATGAAAACGTTAACAGCAAATTCTGAAATCGTCCGTGCATGTGTGTTAAGGATGTATATGTGTACTGTATTGTCCGATTAACGTTTAACGGTGTTGATTGATAGATATGTAGTTGTTTATTGAGCGTGGCTAGCTCCGCTAGCTTCTCTACACAGACAAGTGTGTAGTGACATGCGCTGATAGCTTGTTGTACTTGCAGAGTAATGGCAGTATTTTACACACCTGAATTACAAACAGAGATTGCATTGGGGCTTCGGTCATTATTGGTTTGAGAGTTCTGTTATCAAGAAAAAATTATCGGAAGAATTGCATTCAAGTCAATGGAGTGCTGCTGCTTTGAGGAACGAATTATAATTAAATATTAGAATATATTCTAATGTTTTAAATTAATACATTCGGACGCGAAACTAGCGGTATTATTTTACTTATATATATATATATATATATATATAGCAGTGCGTTGCTTTAGTGCCATTTCATCAGTGATCGTTGTACAGCTTACAAGAAGTTGCGCTAATGCTAATGTTAGCATATGTATCAGATCGCAAATAAAACTAGGTGGCTCCGTGGGATGAGACGTAGGGGAAATGAGAAGCCATTGAGCGAGTTGGGGGGCGGTTCTAAACATTCAAACATTGCAGAAACGGGTATATCGCCTTTAATTTAATAGTATTGTTATTTATAACATTAAATATGTTTGAATTAGTTTCCCAACCAGGTCTGTGGGAGTATACTCTGTACCAGCCGCAGGTGAAGGAGCTGGGGGATATCAGATAAATCTGCTCCCTTGAGTCTGCTGCATTCTTAACCTTCCTGGGATTAATGTAAGAATGTTTTAAAATCTGATAGCACTTTTAACACAGAGCTTTTGCCTGTGCCTCCGCGGTGAGGAGAGCTCAGGGCTCTTTTACGCCCTGAGCTCTCTCTGCAGAAATGGCTGAATGATGAACTTCACATTGCAAACACATGGGTACAGGCAGCTAAGAAGAAGGCGTAAGCATCTCTTCACCTTATGTGAAAGCAACCTTTTTAGATGTCACGGCGTCATTGGGATGTAAAGCCTATTATCTAACATTATCCCTCCTCTCTTTACCCCCTATGGTGAGATTAATGCTAGGTGAGACAAGTATAATATAGTTTAATTAAGCTAGAGCCCACAAGATTCATGGTCTAATTTATTTGCCGGTTCAATGGGTATGAGGCAAGATGCAACCCTTGACAAAGGGTGGTTCTTGTTGGGAAGGAAGCCTGAGATAATGGTTTTATGCTGCTCAAAGATGATTCATCTTTGACCGTCCTTCTTGACATGTGTGATGGAAAATGTTAACCCCTAATCTGATCCATAACATGTACATACACTTAGAGTATGTGCTATGTAGGTCCCAAGGCAAGGTTTGAATCCTTTTTTCATCTTTTTGTAGCGTGTGTAGCGGGATATTGCCATAAACAGGTTGGTCTATTTCTTAGTTTGTGCCATAACATTGGGCCTCATTCACTCATTCACCAATATTGTTTTAAGAATCTTCTTAATTTTCTTCTTGTGTCGTTCTTAAGAAGATTATGAAGACCCTATGTTGGATTCTTCAATGCGTTCTTAAGCCGCTGAATTGTTCGCAGCTGTTCTGAATGACATTTTCTCGTATGTTGAGCGTGCATGTCAGGTAAGTCATTAGAATAGGCACTTTGCTTAAGGCATGTTGCGGTTTCCTCTGATGCTAAGAGTAAATCCGTTGAAGTGTAGGTAAAAAGAAAAAAAAAAACTAGCACTTTTACTGCCAGAGATCACTAGGAGGAAGAAAATCATATTTAGCAGCCTTAGTGCAGTGTGCAACACAAATAAAAAGGAGGGTCACTAATTGACGCTGATGATTTCCTATTTACTTGATAAAGCGTTGGCAAATTTAATTTAAAATCATGTAAAAAAAATAGGCTGAATTGCCACAAAAAATGAAATTATAAATACATACATCAATATGGCAGACATAATACTGTAATGTTGTATTTTATTGAATTTAACAAAAGACACCAGAATGTCGGGACTGAAATGTGCTTAAGAATAGGAATGTAAATGATAAGTTGACATCAATCAAATTAGACTTTGACTAACACATAAGCAAAACACTAAAATCACTGCTCTCTCAACAAAGGATAATTTTCACAAAAACAAAACCTCAACATGAAAGCTTAAAAAAGACAGACCAAATAATAGGTTCTTATGGATTCTTATAGTTTTTAAGTAATCCTCACCCCATGTGGCAACATGGCATACTAGCCACAGTGGCTTATCGCCAACATGTATAGAGTGAAAGAATATGTCTGAGTGTCCAAAAAGCGCTATATATACTGATGCATTCTTCTTATTATTGTTATTACATGCACCTTCGACTGAAATTGGAGTATGTGGAGGGTTCAGTTCACCAGTGCTTTGTCTCACTGTTGATTTCCCTTTCCCAAGTGTAGAGAAGATTAAAACAAAGCTATACCTAAGATAGTCTTATTGTGCCTTTTTGCTCTATGCACGTTCTTCTAGATGAAACGGTTTTCTCGTTATGTTATGTTATGTTCGATATGTTATTTGACTTTCTTCTATAAAATGCACCCATTTGCTACTCTATGCCTTACAACACATTTATATTGTTTCTTACAATGCCTTCTAGCTGGTCTTGATCATTTTTTTAAATCACCGTTTTAAATGCCTTTGCATAGGTAGTCTTGAGCAATTGTAACTATCTCTTCTTTAGTGCATTGGCCCTCCACAAACCAACGCAGCCAGGCCGTGCACTAGATCACTATATTGAATTCCTTTGTAATTGGAGTCACAAAGGGACAAGTCGAGGGAAAATTTTAAGTGGAAGATGCACAAGGGCTGATACAAATAAATAGCTACTCCCCTGGGCTAAATAGACCTTCATGTGTTTCACTCAATTTAGCTAAAGGACAAAGCTCATTGCAGTTTTTCTGATGCCGTTTCATTAATCAATTTTGTTTTTTTCAATAATCAACTATTTAATCAATTATGCGCTGAGCGCTCTACCAACCGACTCCTTCTCATGTGCAGAGATATGTGATTTTAAGACTTATGGTATACAGTATTGGTCAAATTTTTCCTCCCCAAAAGTAATGTAGTAACAATGTTACTGAGGGGAAAAAGTTGATCACTTTTACCTAGAAATATATCAATTGCTAGACGCAGCATCCCAAGAACACCATACCCATTGAAAGATTGTGGATGTATATGTTTTACTTTTGTCACTATTGCTTGCAGTTGTTGGTGGCGCTCTATTGGAACGGAGGCTTGATGGCCCCATTTTTACTGTGATGTCAATGGCAAATAAACCTCTATTCCATTTCTCCCATTAGATCCGGCCGATACCACTTAAACATGCACAATAGGTATGAATGCAATGAGTGAGTGAGTGGGTGAATGGATGGTGTTGGTTGGGGGCTTTGATGCGCCAGTGTATTCGGCGACTCGCTTCCGTCATCACCATGTGTGGAGAGAATGGAATAACTATCTGAACTCCGAACAATTGTAAAAGCGCTTTGGGGGACCTTGGTCTGTAAAAATATGCAATAGGCTCCTGTAGCAGAAAAAGGGAAACTTCGGGGAGGCCCTTAGTGAGGCCCTTAGTGAGGCCCTCAGTGACGGGCTGTATATCCAGGACTACAACCTTCAAATTGTTCTAAAAATGTATCATTACACCACAACATTGTGGATGCTTGATTATAATATTTTAATTTACAGCGTCTTGAAAAACTCTCCAAAGAAGCTCGAGATATTTTTTGAGCTAGGGATGATGATCTGAATTTTGTTTTTCAGATGAGCTACGAAAACTCAGCTGGTCTGGTATTCCAAGACAAGTTCGACCAATAACATGGAAACTACTATCGGTAAGTACAAGGTCAAAGTACAAGGTCAATTTATGACAAAGGTTTGTGCATTTCATAAAGAAATGGTGCTGCTGGTGAACACACATTCAGGCCTTCACATGAATTCATATCAAAGGTTTGAATGTCCTTATTAGCAATTAGAAATTAAATTTTTGCAATTGAGACCCTATTTAGACACTTTACAAACACAGACAGATAGTCTTACTCGGATTATTGTAACTCTTGGGTTATTGAACGCTTCTTTTGTCAAGTGCCTCAAAGCCTGCCGTATACATGACAAAGCATCTATTTTAAAGATATTTCTTGTGCTATCTATTAAATGTTTGCGTCCACTATTTGGTTATGTCTTTCATACATTATGGAAACCTACAGCTTGCATTCAACTGCATTCTAATTATGTTCGTTTATTTTCTTTAAAATGTAAGTAGTAAGTGCGTATGGTCTCAAAGAGACATGAGAAAAGGCAATGTTTGAGAGAGGGTCTCTTGGCTCACTTCTTTGCAGACATTCTTCTGCTCCTTGTCCTTGAAATATAAACTCCAGAGAAGCAGGCAGGACTGTTTACGAACGGCCAGCTCCATATATCCTGAGGAACTCTGGGTGGACTTGCCATGAGGTCTACATTTAATTAACCCACAATAAAAGACAAATCAAAAAGAAAAGACAGGAATGGGGCTTTTTTTATTTTTTACAAGCTCAAGTAGAGACTTTCTTCCTAAGAAAAGGCCCATATCTCTTCTTTAAGAGATAGCTTAATGGTATTTATCAAGGCTACCTTTCATAAACAATAAACTCATCTTTTATACACACAATCCGTGTCAGTGAATTTTCATATTTGATTCATGAAGACTTGTTACATCCTCTTTTCCATCTTCAATGGAGACAATTAATTACAAGCCACTGATAATTTATTCATGAACCGCACAATGTGTTTACTCATTAAGCTTTTGTTGTTGTGTATAGCGAGGAAAAGAGAGGCTTTTTGAGCTGCGTGACTATGCCATTAATTACAGTGCAATGGTTAATGTGCTGCAGAAAAGCAACATTAATGGTTAGTTTGCTGTAGGATGGGTAAGAGGATATCAACATGGAAATATATACATACATGAACATACAGTACATTTCAGTGACAAAAGATCAGATCTTGTGTGATTTTTTTGATTCGTCAACAAAACAAGTTGCAACAAATCTTTTATAATTTATTTGTTGTCATGTTTTTTCAGAATATTGCATGCCACTGACTACATCTTAAGTTTAGTGAGATATATTTAAATGAAAAAAATATACAAGTTCATGACATTGTTCCACTTGTAATACAATATCATTTTATGCTCAGACGTGACAATGTTTTATATCCCTTACGATGAGTAAGGGATATAAAACATACAAGTAAGAGTGATAATCATGCTATCCATCCAGGCCGTATTATGTGCATTTACAAAACAAAGTTGTTCATCAACGGTAAATAGTTTATTCATTTACAATTTAGATATGCCAGAACATAACCATTTGCTAATTTCCATCTGCAGAACCCCCTGGCTGGGGGTTTTTGCAACCATTTTGGAGCCTCAACTCCCATAATAACGATAAATGGACTTTACAATGATTTGTAAAATGTGTTTTCTGTGACCATCCTAGTTCTTTGGCCATGTGCTGGAAAATATTTAATGCCTTGTCTTTTGTATGTGCTGTGTTTTTGTATTTTATCTTTTTATCCTTACTCTTAGCCGGTTTTAAGCTTTCTTATGTCTTGGATATTTAATTTGTGCAGCCATGTCTGTACAATGATATTGCTGAACATTACCAAAACCTTTTACATATGTGTCAGGCATCATGCACTTATGTTGCTGTTACCCCAAGTGCTGTCATCAGTTATGGGTTAGTGATTTTGTTCTGCAATGTGAGGAGGCAGAATTGTGAAGCATGTGTCTTGTTCAATCTAAGTTATAGCCATGTCAGTGGTTTTGTCAACATTATTTCTTCACACAGCTTATTAAAGAGGCAGACAAACTAATAAAAAAATAAAACTAGTAGACCAAAGCAGTAGGCAGTGTAGTGCCAATTCACAGCTTTTCTGAACTAGTTCAAGTTCAGTTCATACATGCTCAAAGTGAACAGTTCAAGTTCAAAGTTCAGTTAATTTTACTTTTTTCGTGAGATATTCAAATAAATACTTTTATCATACTAGGAGCTAGAAATCACTATACGTGATTATATATATATATATAATCACTATACGTGATTTTATATATATATATATAATCAGTACAGACCAAAAGTTTGGACACACTTTCTCATTCAATGAGTTTCCTTTCTTTTCATGACTATTGACTGTAGATTCATACTCAGGCTGTGTAAGGGCTATTTGTCCAATAAGGAGAGTGGTGGGATGCTGGGCCAGATGACCCCGGCCTTCAGTCACCGGACCTAAACCCAATCCAGATGGTTTTGGACCTGAACCCAATCCAGATGGTTGTGGGGCTGGACCACAGAGTGAAGGTGAAAGGGCCAACAAGTGCTAAGCATCTCTGGGAATTTCAGGTCCTTTTGAAGCTCATCAAGAGAATGCCAAGAGTGTGTGAAGCAGTAATCAGAGCAAAAGGTCCTACTTTGAAGAACCTAGAATATAAGACATATTTTCAGTTGTTTCATACTTTCTTTTTTTTTGTATGTACACACTGTATGTTTCTTAGCTCGCTGTAAATGCTTCAATATAAATCTATCAAAATATCTAATTTGTATATTAGTCATGGTCCAGCATGGATGTTAGTTTGTCCAGGACCCTCCTGTCCCCCACCTGCTGCACTGTGTCCAGGGAACAGCCCAGAACAAAGCTGGACTTTCTGATAACCTTGCCCAGCTTCTTTCTGTCCCTCTTTTGTATAGTAGACCACATCATGCAAGATGGCTGATGCCACCACAGAGTCGGCTCTGGCCCTTCTTGAAGAGGGCGTCTGTGTTATGAGTCCAGTCCAGTTTGTAGTTCAGATAAATACCCAGGTTGTAACAGTCCACTCTCTCAATGTCCCTTCCCTGGATGTTCACTGGGCGGCAGTTCCATGATGCCAGTCCACAAAGTCCTGTTTTAGCCGCTGAGGCCTTTGGCGCGTGGTTTCTTGGGCACTAGTACCACACAGGAGAGGTAATCTGTGCAGGAGCAGGGGAGCTTTGTGCTGATACGGTCTTATCCAGATGCCTTCCTGGTCTTTATCCTCATCATCTCTGTCCTCACCTGGGGAAGATATAAATGAAAAACGCCATCCTCCACATCCTGCCTTAGTACAGTGCCTTGCGAAAGTATTCGGCCCCCATTGAACCTTTCAACATTTCGCCACATTTCAGGCTTCAAACATAAAGATATAAATTTTTAATTTTTTGTCATGAATCAACAAGTGGGACACAATCGTGAAGTGGAACGAAATTTATTGGATAATTTAAACTTTTTTAACAAATAAAAAACGGAAAAGTGGGGCGTGCAATATTATTCGGCCCCTTTACTTTCAGTGCAGCAAACTCACTCCAGAAGTTCAGTGAGGACCTTTGAATGATCCAATGTTGTCCTAAATGACTGATGATGATAAATAGAATGCACCTGTGTGTAATCAAGTCTCCGTATAAATGCACCTGCTCTTTGATAGTCTCAGGGTTCTGATTAAAGCGCAGAGAGAACCATGAAGACAAAGGAACACACCAGGCAGGTCCGAGATACTGTTGAGGAGAAGGGCTCGGCCGTCCCTCCAAACTTTCATCTCAAACAAGGAGAAGACTGATCAGAGATGCAGACAAGAGGCCCATGATCACTCTGGATGAACTGCAGAGAACTACAGCTGAGGTGGGAGAGTCGTGCACTGCACAAATCAAGATTGGCAAGAAGAAAGCCATTTCTCAAAGATATCCATAAAAAGTCTCGTTTATAGTTTGCCACCAGCCACCTGGGAGACACACCAAACATGTGGAAGAAGGTGCTCTGGTCAGATGAAACCAAAATCGAACTTTTTGGCCACAATGCAAAACGATATGTTTGGCGTAAAAGCAACACAGCTCATCACCCTGAACACACCATCCCCACCTCAGCTGTAGTTATCTGCAGTTCATCCAGAGTGATCATGGGCCTCTTGGCTGCATCTCTGATCAGTCTTCTCCTTGTTTGAGATGAAAGTTTGGAGGGACGGCCGGGTCTTGGTAGATTTGCAGTGGTCTGATACTCCTTCCATTTCAATATAATTGCTTGCACAATGCTCCTTGAGATGTTTAAAGCTTGGGAAATCTTTTTGTATCCAAATCCGGCTTTAAACTTCTCCACAACAGTATCTCGGACCTGCCTGGTGTGTTCCTTTGTCTTCATGGTTCTCTCTGCGCTTTAAACAGAACCCTGAGACTATCAAAGAGCAGGTGCATTTATACGGAGACTTGATTACACACAGGTGCATTCTATTTATCATCATCAGTCATTTAGGACAACATTGGATCATTCAAAGATCCTCACTGAACTTCTGGAGTGAGTTTGCTGCACTGAAAGTAAAGGGGCCGAATAATATTGCACGCCCCACTTTTCAATTTTTTATTTGTTAAAAAAGTTTAAATTATCCAATAATTTTCGTTTCACTTCACGATTGTGTCCCAATTGTTGTTGATTCATGACAAAAAATTAAAATTTTATATCTTTATGTTTGAAGCCTGAAATGTGGCGAAATGTTGAAAGGTTCCAGGGGGCCGAATACTTTCGCAAGGCACTGTATATCCGCTTTACATCAATAGGCTACAAGACAGCAGCTCAAGGCTGAGGTTTACTCTTTTCTTGCATTGGTAAGCACACACAGGCTAGGCTACATTGCTGAGTTTAGACCGGGAATAGTGCACAGGTCCAAATTCTGGTACACCTGGTGAGTGTCATACTGGTCAACTGGACAACGGTGACAGGCAATGTACCACATACAACATCTGTAGTTTTTAACTGTATTCCATAAAGTTGGCAGAGACACCTAATAAAACTTCACTCTGGTGACGTCCCTGGTGCCCTTCTGCTGTTCGCCTGCCTGCACCAACTTATTTGATTTTGTTCTCCCCTCCAGCAGGCATGCTTCAACTGTCTTTTCTTTTACCTGACGAAGACCATTATACAACTTTTCTTTTTGCAGTCTGTTCTCAGTAGTGATGGAAAAATTATCCGTTTTGTATCAATACGCTCAGATGTGCACATGCACATACACCATTTTAAAGATGCAAGTGCATTTTTTATTGGTTTTCCCTCTTTATATCTGTTTGACAAGATTTCTGTATTTTCTCTACACATGCACTTTGTCTTTGAATATATGACCATCATTTTTTTACTCTTTTCTGAAAGTCATCCATTTTGGACTTTCTTTCAATTCAGAATAACATGTGTTTAAATAACACCAGGCCTTTAGGAAGGAGGTGGAAATGAAATGTCTTTTCTGCTCTGTAGGAGTGAGTTGCCCTTTGGCAATTTGTCTTTTCTAATGAAATGTGTTTTTTTAGTTAAATGAGAAGGGGTGGGGGGGTGGGGTGGAAACTACCTGACAGGCTAAAGCAGGGGTGGGTAATTATTTTCTGCTAGGGGCCATATTGGTATACCACCTTGTGAAGGGCTGGACTTGTTTTCATGTGGTTATAATTGACAACACATAGTTTTTAGAAAAGTTATTATAGGTTATTATAAAGTTTATACATTTATAATAAAGCATTTTATGCAACGCATTAATCTTTTGATCATGTTCTATCATCAACTCTACTGTGGCATACACATTACAATTTTGTTTATGTTGTTGCCACAAAAGTTGAAGTTCCTGAAAGACCACAATAAAGTAAGAGAACTATAAAGTGAAAGCAAAACAACATGATATTGTTCATTCTTTACAAATACTTACACTATACTTGCACTTAAAAAATACCTCCCTACGGCAAGTGTGGATCAATCACCTATGCAATAGCCCTGTTTGGACAGCTACTCGAGTCAATTGCTTGTGTTCATTTGTGCACCATGGACGTCCCAAACCTGATAAGTCTCTCCCGGTATTGCGCGATGGATGCATTATGACAGTGTTTTTCAACCTTTTTTGAGCCAAGGCACACTTTTTTTACTGAAAAAATCTTGCGGCACACCTCCAGGAGAAAATGTAAAAATGTATACAGTACTAATGTAAAAAAATATATACTGTACATACTCTGTGTGATATATAAAGTATATCTTATCTTATAATGTATACAGTATACTCTGTAGCCTATATTCACAATATACAGTTATTCTCATCAAAATGCTTAAGTCCAGGCCTTGAAATTAAGCTTTATTTAATATTTCTCGATACAATTAACAAGAGTTTGGGAATAAAGTGGCACTAACTGTGTGGAAAAAAACTAAGAAAATCCACTCTCTGCCCAAATAGTCAAATAATAACTCACACAAAGAACATGCATTGTTAGTGCATGGGAAACATTTTGGTATCCGAGCTTTAAATTCAGGAGTTTTGGATGAGGGACACGGGAGGTCCTGAACGCGAGTCCATGGTTCTGTCCGGTCCGCATGTCTGTGGTTCTGTCCACTTGACTACGGTCTGCGCTCGGTACCCAGTTCAGAAGTGCGTTCGCGAGAGCTGTTGTACAAAAATCGTACATTTCATAGTTAAACCACTACAACGCGGCCACAGCTGCCCCGGGGCAGAGCGGAGGATGTTAATCCTGTTCAGAAACGGCATAATTCATTTTCAAAAACGTCTCTATCACTTTCACTTCTCACTCGCCACAAAGCTCTTGTCTCGCTCCCTCCCACATTTGTTGGTCGCATCCAATTTTACCTTTCTCGCCACAATGCTGACCTGTTACAGCCAGTGGTCGCATCCAATTTTTCAGTTTCAAAGTACTTAGCTATCTGCTGCCATCTACTGATTTGAAAAAGTATTACATGGTTACTCACAGTTCAAAACAAGTCACCGCTCGTCAACAGCGAATGCAGCTATTTTTAGACAAAGTAGACGAATTTCTCACGGCACACCAGACAATATCATACGGCACACTAGTGTGCCGCGGCACAGTGGTTGAAAAACACTGCATTATGATATGTGGGAAAGAATTCTTGTGTAGCCCATGATAATTAAGGCTCTAGTGCACTGGGCTGCCTTTGCCACACACTGGAGAAGGGCTTAAGCTAGCAAAATCCTATAGGAGATATTATAATGGTCCATAGAGGAAGTACAATCCACACTGGCTGGTGGAAGCTAAGCTCTGTTCATTGTGCCCTTTCTGGTTTTTATTTCATGTATTTCTGCAAATTCCAAAACTAATTAGACGGCTTGCTAAAAGAAAGTTTAATTTAAAAGCCCAAAATGGATTCCCTAAGTGTATTTTACCTGTTTTGGGAAAAAGTTTTGTGGAGTGCGAGATGCATTAGTGTGCCAGCGGACTGAGTGGATGAAGAGAGAGGTTTTATGTAGACTGATTAGTGCAGGCAGCTTCAGTGTTATGGGCACATTTTTCTACATCAGGTCACACAGAGCAGTAGTGCATACACTCTAGCGTCATCTGCCCATCTCTCTGTGGCCGTGGGACAGCAACTGTCACCATTTCAGATGCAGAGTAAAACTAAAGTGGAAGTGTGTCTTCCAAGCTCAAACTTAGACATTGTACATTGCTGAATTATTAATGCAGATTGCTTCTGTACTGTTTTCCAGAGGCTATTTAACAATTATAAATCATATGTGAATGCAGCACATGATATACCCGGTTGATCTAACATCTGTATGGTATTCTCACTTTGGTCAACTGGCGACCAAATATCTGGCAACAATATAAATATACTGCGCAAATAATCTGTGGTTTTACACTAATTTGAGGTTTTACACTTTTTTTATGCTCCTAAATGAAAAAGTATGTTTTTTTTCTCAGGGATATCTGCCTGCTAATGCAGAGAGAAGAGAGAGTGTACTACAACGGAAACGGCAAGAATATTTTGGCTTCATTCAGCAATACTACGACTCCCGCAATGATGAGCCCCACCAGGACACATACAGACAGGTACACATATTAGTTTTCAGATACAACAACTTTCTGTCACTGAAATCACGCACACACATGCACGCACGCATGCACACACGCATATTTTAATGCATACATTGTATTATTTCATTTCAAGATGCATACTGTATAATCTCCACTAAAGTCACATATAGGCCTATTTTCAATGGAATAAGCCATGTATAGAGTTTTAGTACTTTGTCTTTGCTCCTCCCTGTAACTCAATAGCCTCATGCATAACAAACATTTTAGTAAGTAATAATAATATGGATAAATAATACAGTATTGTAATAATAGATGGAATTTATTCAAAGCCATAATGGACATACATTTTGTTTATACTTAGTAGAATTTCCATGAACCTGTTTGACTTAGCACTGCTTACATATCAATGTTCCACTCACACGAATTTTTTATTAATACATAATTGCTGTATCTCTGCCATTCACATCTGCTCTCCATTGGAAAAAAATATTTAGCTATTTACATTGTTTAACAAACATCTGTGATTTTCTGTAAATTCACAGATGTTTGTTTAACAATGTATTGGTATCTGCCCTGGACAAAACACAATGTCTAGTCTTGATATATTGCTTTACATTTTGCATTTACGCAGTATTCCTGCTTCTTGCAAACATCTTCAAAGTTCACAATTCTCTTCCTTATGCTAACTGGTGTATTTTTTTCCCCATGTTGTCAAACAAGTGTTTTTGATATGAATCCAATGAACTCAAATGTCAGCCAACCTTCCAAAGCCTTTATGTTAATGTCTGACGTCATTCTTTAAATGTATGCTTCAGAGAGTGAGAAAAAATAGCATTTTATATAATGTGTAGGCTTATATAAATTTAGTTTCCACTGTAAATTTAGTTATTGCAGAGAACATAATTAAATACTGAGGATTCAGTATCCCTTTTTCCAGGTCCCAAAGGGGAGAGGCCAATTGTACATATTTGTGTGGTTTGGGAAACCGGAGCATGTAGCCTAAGCATCTAGCTGTAGTTATCTACATCTATTCTGGTGTATGCAAGATACAATTGCACCATTTTAAAGTCTTGAGACATCAGTAATTGGATCAACCACCAATACATTTTGGTCTTACGAGTCAATATTTTATACCTCCATTTAAAGCACATAATCTGCAATAATAACACCCACAAAAATTGTATTTATGACTGCAAAAAGTTGGCGCGAATAATGCTAAAGCAATTCACGATGTCATCCAGTGCTCCACCAATATACACATCGCTGCATAAAGTGTGATCACTTAAAGGTGATCACGTTTTTTTTTTCTATTAAGAAAATTATCAGTGATCCTTCAGTCAACTTCAGCTCCACCAAATATAAATCAATGTGAACATGCCATCTCATGTTAGAGCTTCGATCAGCCCACATCAAGTCACTGAATGGTTTACAATATTGGCTTTTAAGTGCAGCAAAGTTCATCGGTCCCAGCTGAAGTGTTGTGGTAATATTTAGAAATCCACATCACTTTGGCCCAACCATGTGCATAAGGGACATTAGGTACTGACCCGAGATGATAGTCTGGAGGATATTGTGTTCAGAGTTGAACAAATGAACTGCATCTTTGGGAAACTTAAGACACAAAGAGAGTGACGGAGAATGTTTTTTCTTTTCTTTTGATTTAATCACTGTTTTTTATACATCAAACATTTGGTCTAGTAAATGTATGAATGTAAGGACAACATGCAGTGCCATTAAAAAATATGGCACCATGCACATTTTCAAGAATCAAACAAGCATGATAATTGTAATATAATGCTTGTTTGTTTCTTCATCTTTTTATGACGAAAACAACCTGTTTATTTCTTATGTCAGATCCACATTGACATTCCTAGGATGAGCCCAGAACATTTGGTGCTGCAACCAAAGGTGACGGAGGTAAGACGGCCATTAAAAAGTATGGCCATTTGGTAACAGCAATTTCAGGAGCACTCAACACCTACATCTACAAACCAGCTTTTTTTGTATGACTAGCAGCTGTCCTATATCCATCCGAATCTTTTTGACAAATCTTTTTCCTGTCATGCCGTTTATATATGGAACTGGATGTCTGAAATGGTGTCAAGGTGGTCTAACCCTCACACTCTCCATCATGTGCTGTCAGAGGGAAGCACAAGAGGGACTACTGCAGCTATCCATTTCAGACAAAGTTTTTCCCACCTCTTGTTGCCTGCCTTAAAATCAAGAATCAATGCATCTACTGTGTATGCTTTTCTCTGTCCATGTTATGGCTATAACCTAAAACGGCCAATTGCTAAATCTGCCAATTGCTTCAGTGTTGTCTTCTCTGTTTCTCTCTCTGCAGATTCACATTGACATACCGAGAACTAATCCTCTAATTCCTCTCTTTCAACAAGCTTCTGTTCAAGAGGTGAGACCATATCCAAACTACTGCAGCCTCCTGCCCATGCACACACACCTCACGCACACCTCAGCAGGGCTCTTCTCCCCTACAGCTTTTGAGCACATAAAAAAGTAGCTTCATAAGAAACTGCACCGATATGTGCACAGAAGTATACAAACTTTTTATCATTTATACTCACAAGAATAATTATGAGTGTTTGCAATGGCTGGGACCAATTTGTCAGATAAACTAATTGAATCTTGAATCACAATATGTCAATTACTTTTTGTGTGCACAGATACGTTGGAAATTGTGCAGGGCTCTCAGTTGAAGTTACACATTTTAATCTATATGACATACATGTCATTTCAATACATGCTTGCAAAATCTACTGCCAGCATTCTCAAATGTATTTAAATGTCTTCATATTAGATAACCAGTGTTTGTAAAGTTACTGAGTTTTCAGAAAACTGGTTATTTTGATATAGCACAATAATCAGGACTTACTTAGCCCCTCTCCCCACCAAGGAATACCACTTCTCTCTCCATCTCTTTTTTCTAAATTTTTAATCAAAATCTGACTCAAAAATCTAAAACATTCACTGCAAAGTTACTAGACATATTATATTTGTAGGTCTCTACATGATTGTATGCATTAACAAATTAAAATGATAAACAGGCAATTAACACGTATATTTAGAACGGGAACAAATTTGTTTTAAAATTTTAATTTTAGCTCAATACATTATGCAATGCAGTAAATGTAAGTTATTCTATTGCACTTAAAACAAGAAACCTCTTCTATTAAGTTCCATATCTGGACATTTTGCACATCTTTCACATTCAAATTTTTTGCAAGTTGATTTCATCATTTGTGTAATAAAGAAATTTCCTCATAGTGGACTTTGTTTGGTTTAGAATGTATACATATATATATATATATATATATATATATATATATATATATATATATATATATATTACATATTACCTTCACACTTTAACTGTACACATCCATTGTAAGATTGGCTTTTATCTCGTGTCCTTTCTTTCATACTCCCAAAAGTCATGTCTCCATTCTTTCTCATCGGCTCTGCCCTCTTCGCGCGCACACACACAATCTTCAGCCTCTATTGAAATATTCAGGCAGTGTGCTATGTATATATTTTGGTATGCAACAGACTCCAAAAGAGCTCTCCTGGTATTTCTTTTATATGGTTATGCTTGCTGCGGCCCCACCTGAAAATCACCCCTGCTTCATTACATTCAATTGTTTGTCTCTGCGCTGCACTCTGGGGGCTCGAAAAGATTTAGTGGAAATGGAATCCAGTCAACAGTCTGCTCCCTTTGCATAGAGAAAGAGAAGCTACAATGCAATTTCCTGTTTTCTTCATGTTATCTTTATATATTTTTAAAACATTGCAGTTTTGGAGAATTTTATGAAAATTTATTTTAAATTGAAATGGGAAACTTCTTATTGTTGCAAAAAAATCTCAGAATTAGCTGAAAAGGTACTCCGTCAACACAAAAAGACAATTGGGTGGCACGGTGCCTGAGTGGATAGCACTCTCGCTTCTCAGCAAGAATGTCCTGGGTTCGAATCCCGGTCGGAACAGGGCCTTTCTGATTGGAGTTTGCATGTTCTCCCCGTGTCTGTGTAGGTTTCCTCCGGGTACTCTGGATTCGCCTACCACTAAAAATATGTACAATAGGTTCTGGCATGCACCTCTTGTACTGGTGACCCCGCTCTCTGTGTGGAGTGAGAGACAAATGCTCACAATTGTTACCCGCTTTGTGACTCTAGTCTGTGAAAGGCGGTATATAAATAAAGATTACTTACTTACTTATGATCTTACCGGTAATATTGGCATAAATTGATGTGTTTAAAGGTCCATTCCATTTGCTGTCCAGGTGGTGGGCCTACTTTTGACTTGTTCATCTTAATGTTGTTGTTTTACTTATTTTTATTTTTTTGTTTTACTTTTATCTCTGTGAAGCACTTTGGAAACTTGTTTTATAGAATGTGCTATACAAATAAAGTGGATTGTATTGGATTGGAGTACAGTTTAGAATAACACCTCTTTATCCATTATAATAGTTTCCTGCATTACCTATTCACAAGATGACTCAGACAACCAATAATAACTTAACATAATAATAACTAAAACCTATCAAAAAGAGTGGAACTAACATATCTGTGTTATATTCATATGAACTTTTAAGGTTTGAAGAAAAAGAAAGTCCCAAAGTTGCTCAACTCAGTGTTTTATTAATAGAGCTTTAATAACAAGAGAAGAGCATCTATTTGTAGCACATAGAAATATAAACAAATACGTACTCGTGTGCCCTTTCTAACAAAGTCAATAGCCACAAAATTCTATTCATTAGAAAAACGGGTTACAGTAACAGACACAATGTTATAAGGAATAACCCCTTGAGATGTATCATCTGTTTTTTTCATTGGGTCTTCAAATTAGCTGATCGATTAGTTGATTAATAAAGGCCATTCATTTATTCTCAACGTTGGTATATATAGTATGTGAAACTTGCGGATGTGAGACGCTAATAAAGCTTTCTCAATATATCTTTTGCGATAGGGAAAAAATGGTGAGGAGGTTTGCAAGTGTGACTTGGTAGGTTCAAGCAATGCAGCGACTGGTGAAGAACAAAAATGAGGAGATGCATGAGACCAACACCAAAGCCAAAACACAGTTCAAAGATCCCTTTTTAGTGTAGACAAAACTGTGAACTGAGGTGAGGCAGTAGATCCTGCCAACAATAGTGAGGGGGTTTATTGTCAAAACATATCTGGGAAAAAAATCAACAGCTTCTTTAACCATTTGAAGTGCTTGAATCTTCCGAGAACAACGAGTTGCAGGCAACTGTGTAGTCAAAGTAAAATGACTACACAGTGACTTTTAAAATATATATTTTATAAATAGAAAAAGGGACATGGGACAACTAGTGCTCATGCATGAGTGCTAAATGGAAAATCAGTTTTGAAATAAAGTCACATGAAGCCATAGTGGGCATATGCATTCAACATGAGGCAGAAGAACCTTTGGCCAGATAAGACTAAGGCAAAGTTTTCATATCGAGCCATAGTGGTCAGTTGGTAGAGCATTGGCCTTTGAGCCTCAAGGGTGTAGGTTCACATAAGACCTTCTTCATCAAGTCTGATATCTGCTGTTGTTGTGTCCTTGAGCAAGACACTTAACCCCACTTTGCCTGAAGCCCCTGCTGAAAGATAAAGGCCTGTGTCGTCACTGACAGAGCAGCCAGTGCTATGTTAAATAGGTGCAGAAATAGGATTAAGGGGAAGAAAATGGACGGATGGATGTCATGTCACACTTCCACATTTGCAAGCTACTCATTTCTTTTTTTACTTTGTTAAAACATGAAACAATTTCATTAATTGTCTGTCATTTTATGTGTAAAATAAGTAAAATAAGTAAAATAAAGGTTCAAGTCACTGAACTTGGCCAAAAATTGTGGGATTGAGAACTGGATTTGCATTGGTAGAGAGAGGTATTTGTGGTGACTTGGACTTGGAAATATCCAGGATTTGACAAGGGTTTTTCTTTTTTTCTGAGGCTCAATATTAACCAAAGTGTTTACCTTTCTGTTCATATTTGTTTTTTTATTTGAACTTGCACCGTCTTTGATCATTCCGTTTTCTCTCCTTCTTATATAATGAGGCTGACTTACTGTAAATGATGCATGTTTTTTCTGCTTTCATTGCATGCCTTAATTAACTCTAATATGTATAACTGATTCAAACTCTACACATCTACAAATTCATCAAAGTTATGATTTGAAGTAGCAATTAAAGAGCGCACATTGCCTCAGGTGTTGATGTATTGAGAGAAGTGAAAAATATAGTTGAGGAGATGTTAGCTCTGATCAAATAACATAATAATGACATTATTGAGTCACGTGTATAGTTAAATGTTTGCTTTCTCAAGCTAACCTTACTTAACCTCTATGTTGTTTTATTTTTCATTTTTTTAGATTTTTGAGAGGATATTATTCATCTGGGCTATTCGACATCCTGCCAGTGGATATGTTCAGGGCATCAACGACCTAGTTACTCCATTCTTCGTAGTCTTCGTGTTTGAATATATTGGTAAGTGCCTTTTTGTAGATTAATGGGCGAGTCTTAATAAAACTGAGGTTCATTTCACTAAGTCTGAGGTGACTGCCTTACTGTCCATGCGATGCTTGTTTGTTTTGGCCTTTTCAAACTTTCTTAAACACACTTAATGAGGCTGAATCCACAATGCACTCTGGAATAACAGTTCGGTATTTATAATTGCATATTTGTGACCACATATTCACACATGGACAAAAAAAAGGTTGAGGATAACATAACATCAGTGTGTGTTAGATAGAAAAGCAAATTGTTTCATTTTCGGTTCTTCTTTGCAGTTGAAGTAAGGTTGTTACATATATCAGTACAATATATTTTAGTTTATGTAATTATTATTATGGTTCGTCCCTCAGGGGGGAAAGGGTTGGAAAGAGAGGACACAAGTTTGCATGCCACCCAGTTTAGTTGTGTTGAAGGGAAAAAAAATGAATCTATACAATGTACAATATGTACAATATTTACAATAGTTACAATAGTGCACTTCATAATCAGGTGGAACACCAAGCTCTGGCTGTCATCGTCTGTCCATAGTCCATAGGTCTTAGTTCTAAGAGTCCGTTAAATAATCCAGGGAAACAATAATCCAGGAAACAATAATCCAACTCTGTCCCGCACGCTGGAGGTGGTGGAACATGAACGAACACCAGGACACTAACAAGGACAAGTGTGTGGCAGCAAAGGCCTCCTACCGCACCATTTAATGAGAGAGCTCAGGGTCTGGAGAACCAATCACTTTAGAGGCAGCGTTCATTCAGACCTCTTACAGACACAGGGCTGGACTCGGGGTCTTCAGCAAGCCTGGCCGATCCCATTAAGCATCTCAGTAATATGGTCACGATATGTGTTGCGGTAGACTGACCTACTGCCGCAACCAAGTCCCGCTTGGCCCACGCACCTAGCTGGCAGCCAGCGGCTACTGTGTATAAGCAGTATCGTGTATAGTATAGCACTTCCGGGGTTACCGACCGCAAAGGCTCATGGGAAATTGAGTTTTTATCTTTTAGTTAGAAATAAAAGAAACAGACATGTATATATTTATATAGAGGGTTACATATGTCTCTGCTAATTGTTTTTGCTAATATAATATATGGAAATGATCTTAGTTATGTTTTAAAATTGCTTCGATGTATGTTAAAGTGATAGTATGTAACTCTAAATGAATTACAAATTTTAAGAAATGTATAAAATGACCTCCTGGCCTTAAATATTGATATAAAATAAGTCATTTTATTAATTCTAATATTACAGGTAAGTTCCGCCTTCTCTTAGCTATAGCTCAGAATCCATGATGCTGTCCACGTTAACCCTTCGAATCATGCCAAGGGCTGTCAATCATCAGCGCTGATACTCGTAGCTGCGCCCATGCTCAGTTGTTTGTTTTTGCGGAGCCTCCGAATCAAGCCTCCATTAGGCTCTGGAGCTACATGAAAACTGAACAAAGAATTCTGAACATCCGCGCTGAGGGACCCATTTATAAACTGAACCTATATCCATAATCAGATCCTCTGCAGATGTGTCCTATAATGTGCAATTAATGATAATAGCTTCTTCCGGGTTCGCCGTGATCGTTTTTTGTGTGCATTAAAACACTATTTTGTGTGTATTAATAATGTATATTTATAATTTGTTCTCCCATTAACATTTGAATGTGTTACGGAAACGTAGGCGTAGACCGATCAGAAAAGAAGGGGGAGGGGGCGTGCGTCGTTTTTTTTCAAATCAAGTACCTCTCTCTCTCTTTCTTTCTGACAAACTGCAGACAATCACTTTAAATAATGCATCGACGATAATATTCAACATTGACACATTTTGAAATATGTCTCAACCAATACATTGTGACATATTTCAAAACATTCTATATTGATTGTTTTATTGTTCATTTTTGGTGTTGCTGATTAAATACAGTATAGAGCAGGGGTGTCAAACTCATTTTGGTCCAGGGGCCAAATACAGCCTAATTGGATCTCAACTGGGCCGGACCATAAGATGCTCTACAAAAATACCCAAAAACGGTGCAAAGTCCAACTTTTTGTGCACATAAACACATTTATTTAATACTTCCTTTACAACACTGTCCTTTAATACTCATTCAGTTTTAGCTGTTAATCTGTTACAAACTTAAATGTAACAGTGAGTTTTTCATAGTGCAAATAATGTAATGTATTTACAATATTACATTGTAAATGGCATTTCACAATATTTATATTAATACTTTTTTGTTAGCTTTGTTTTAAGGCTCATTACAGAGAAAGATTGCTCCCAAAGGTAAAGGTAGATAGAAAAAAGCACTTTAACACAGCACCTCAGCTTTACCATCTTCAGTGTGGTCAGGTCCATGGTTATGTTATTATCAGAGAGAAAGCATCAAACTGACCATGATTAAGTTGGAATGAACAAAACAACTTTCTTAACGTGATCCATTCTTAACGACTGCAGCAGTGTCTCTGTGTAAAATACTGTCAAATGTCCAAATATCATCACCTCCATTTGCAGCTTTGTCACAACACCTGTCTTTACCATCGGTACCAGGCTGAGAGCGTAGGACCAGTCCACACTGTCCAACGCACCAGCAACAGCACCAGCAACAACAACAGCAGCAGCACCAGCAGCAGCGCTCAAAACTCCTCTGTGATAGTTTCAGTAACAACACAAATGAGAATCAGAATCAGTTTTATTGCCACGTAAGTAACAGGAAGTCGCAGACTTGGAAATTGCTTTGGCTCACTGCAACAGTCAGAAAGAGATAATAAAAATAAAGAATAAAAAACACTTCTAAGGAATACATTTAAATTTAAAATATAGTTAAAGTTACTATTTACAATATACAAGTGCACATGGTGCACACAATGTAAGGTGACAATAGTACAGTGAAGTAAAGTGACGTATGATGGGCAGTAAAGTGACTTTATAAAGGGCGGGGGGACAGGTTAAGAAGTGTTCAAGAGTCCAACAGCAGAGGGGAAGAAACTGTTCTTGTGGTGGGAGGCTCTAGTCCTGATAGACCGCAGTCTCCTGCCTGAGGGGAGTGGTTGGAATAGTCCATGTGCAGGGTGAGAGGGGTTGGCTGTGATACGACCAGCCCGGCCTCGAGCTCGGGCGATGTATAGGTCCTGCAGCGATGGAAGACTGCGGCCGATCACTTCCATGCGACATCAGTAACATCAGTCTCTCATCAATGGCAACATGATGTTGGTGACAGCGTGTGGTTTCTCAGGACACAGTCTGCAGCCTGTATAAGAGTTTTAACAAACTCTCTCACTGTGTGGCTGCAATGCTAATGCTATGTTATGGTTAGCACTCAGGTAACTTGTCTTTACAGTAGCATCACTAACCTCTTGCTCTGGGCTCAAACAGACTGCTGTTACTTCAGGGCCAGACACATTTATCTTCTGTCTTCTCAATTCTCCGCTCAAAGTGCCGTATTTTTCGCCGAGTCTCGTAGTTTAAGATGATATTCCTTCTGCACCGCCACTTGTTGCATGAAATCAAGCATAGTTTCATTCACCTCCGCGAACAAATAAGAATTACTCCGACACTCGATGTTCACTTTTCGCCTTTTTGACAGAGACATTTTGCTGTCACTGTCAGTCACAGAAAGCGCTCCGGTGGGAGCCACTACAGACGCATTCGGACCTCTGCTGAGCTCAGCGTTGCGGCGTGGCACAGATTTTTATTATTTTTTAAATTTTTATTATTATTATTATTTTACATAAATGAGCCGCAGGCCGTGTCAAATTTCTTGGCGGGCCGCATGAATGACACCCCTGGTCTAGAGCTTTTAGAATGTTTCCTTCGTGTTTCCTCGTGACGCCTGCTTTCTGCCCCTGTGCTTATAGTGGTTCACTTTGAGAACCACTGATCTTAGCACATTTACTCACTTCCCCCTGCTGCTGCCCATCTTGCTCCTATGACATCCTGTTTTCTTCCATTTCCATTTGCTCTCAATGGTACCCAGGTTGTTTTTGAGATTAATGCAATCTGAAAGCAACTTACTTCACAAGTTCTTTTTTATAGGTAAGTCAAACCTACCCGGTTTAAAGACCTGATGGGAGTATTGATGTTTCCTTTGACCTTATAGTACTGAGACAGAAAAACAAATACACCTTGATGAATTGACTAACATCTGTGAAGTGGATGTACAACAATCTTGGATCCAGGATTTTATTTTTATATTTTTTTCTGAAAGGGTTCAAGGAATATATTTTTATTTCTTGCTCCATCTGGTTTCATTCTTTTATGATGTTGTACAGTATATCCTGTTAGCTTACTGTAACATGTGAAATACTTTAAACTAACGTGTTACGCTTACAAAACAACAGTTGTAATCTGTTTATAGTTACGTAGTACAAGGTTAGTACAACGTGTGCAGATTTGTTTACGTGAAATCAGGCGTCCAAATTTATAGTCACCCAGATAGCTAATGCCATTGTCAGTATGTGCTCATAGATTTTGTGGAAAAATACGTCTGGTTCCGGATCATAACGGACTGACTTTGTCAAAATGGGCATTGTCATTGCAATTTCTGAACAAAATGGCAACATTATCCAAAAGATTAAAAACAAAATCTTGTTGGATTGAATTCGTCCACATTCATACAATTTAAGACAGCCACAAAGTTGTTCAGAAACTGAAACATTGCTATAATACTATGATACAAATATGGAGGCAAACCGCTCTGAACATGGCATACAAGTCTGAGATTAAAGAAAAGGATGTCCCGATTAAAAAAAACCAACTCTCAGCATGTTTTTGATGAAGAAACAATGTTGTAACATTTTTCAAATTTCAAAGATGTTTTATTAATTCAAGAATACAAACAAATGTAAGTAAAACCTACATGTTCACATTTAAAGGTCAGTGCATTTTTGCTTCATTGCAATATAGACTAATTTGACCTCTCATTGTTAGCTGTCAAAAGTAATATGTGTAGAATTCTATAGTGGTTCTTTAATCTGCATTGGGGCTAAATCTTATTT